ACGATATTCGGATTGTGTGTACGGGCCATAAGTGGTTTAAGTTATGTTTATTATTTATTTGGTTTACAAATATTTTGTATTTATTCTAAAGTTCTATGGTTATGAATAAATACCTGTATTTATTTGAATTAACATTTGATGACTTGGTGTCTGTATGTGTTTTTTGGTGGGCCATCAGACCCAATTCTCCAGGTGAGCCACGGGAGTCCCAGTCCGACACTGGGGTTGGCGCCATTGTATTTATGCAGACCGTTCACACATGTGCAGACAGCAGGTACTGTAGAAAACAGCTGCTGTGTTGAAAGACGGGACAACACTTGAATTATTGTTTATCAGCTATTGTCATATAATATTTTCATTTATATAAAACAAACCATCCCATGACAATGGATCGTGTAGAGAAGAACCCTAAAAAGAGAAAATATACTGAGGATTTTTTACAGTATGGTTTTACCTCAATAATTACAGTAGGAATTGAGAAACCGCAATGTGTTATTTGTTGTGAAGTTCTATCAGCTGAATCTATGAAGCCGAACAAACTAAAACGCCATTTTGATAGCAAGCATCCGAGCTTTGCCAGCAGGGATACCAACTATTTTAGAAGCAAAGCTGATGCACTCAAGAAAGCCAGACTTGACACTGGTGGCAAGTACTACAAACAAAACGTAGCCGCCATTGAAGCTTCATATTTGGTGGCACTCAGAATCGCCAGAGCTATGAAACCTCACACCATTGGTGAGGATTTACTGTTGCCAGCGGCCAAAGACATTGTTCGAATTATGATCGGAGACGAATTTTGTTACGAAATTGAATGCAATTTCCTTATCCAACGACACTGTCCGCAGGCGATTAGATGACATGTCTGCTGATATTCTTGGTCAGGTAGTGCAGGAAATTAAATCTGCTCCACTTTCAATATTTAGTATCCAGCTTGATGAATCTACAGACGTGGCAAACTGTTCACAGTTACTGGTTTACGTGAGGTATATTAATGATGGCGACTTTAAAGATGAGTTTCTTTTTTGCAAACCTCTTGAAACGACAACTACTGCACATAATGTATTTGACACAGTTGGTTCATTTCTGAAAGAGCATCAGATCTCTTGGGAAAAGGTTTGTGGTGTTTGCACAGATGGTGTTCCAGCTATGCTAGGATGTCGATCTGGATTTCAACGTTTGGTACTGAATGAGTCACCAAAAGTCATCGGAACTCACTGTATGATTCATAAGCAAATATTAGCAACAAAGACGCTGCCACAAGAGTTACAAGAAGTAATGAAAAGCGTCATAAGTTGTGTCAATTTTGTAAAGGTGAGCAGTTTAAACAGTCGACTGTTTTTGCAACTGTGCAACGAGTTGGATGCGCCACACAATGCTTTGCTATTTCACATTGAAGTGAGATGGTTGTCAAGAGGAAAAATTTTAAAACGTGTTTTTGAGCTTCGTGATGAACTTAAAACGTTTTTTAATCAGAAGGTAAGACCGCAGTTCGAAGCACTTTTCAGTGATAAACGTGAATTGCAGAAAATAGCTTACCTGGTTGACATCTTTGCCATCTTGAATGAGTTAAATTTATCACTGCAAGGACCAAATGCAACTTGCCTCGATTTGTCTGAAAAGATTCGATCATTCCAAATGAAACTTCAGCTTTGGCAAAAAAAATTGGATAAAAATAATATTTACATGTTGCCTACCTTATCTGCTTTCTTTGAGGAACATAGCATTGAACCAGACAAAAGAATTACTATGATAATTTCTGTGAAAGAACACTTGCACATGCTTGAAGATGAAATTTCATCGTACTTTCCAAATCTACCTGACACCCCGTTTGCACTTGCCACAAGCCCATTCACAGTCAAAGTTGAAGATGTTCCCGAGACAGCACAAGAGGAGTTCTTTGAACTTATTAACAGCGATGCAGCGAGAACTGATTTTTCTACAATGCCAGTTACAAAATTCTGGATCAAGTATTTGTAGTCATATCCTGTTCTGTCTGAGACTGTGTTGCGCCTTCTTCTTCCATTTCCAACAACATATCTATGTGAAACAGGGTTTTCCAACTTGTTGGTTATCAAGTCTAAATACAGAAGCAGACTTGTTGTGGAAGATGATCTTCATTGTGCTCTTGCAAAGACTGCCCCGAGAATTTCTGATCTGGTGAGAAGAAAGCAATCTCCAATCTCAACCTTCGCACTGACGTTGGCTTTTTATGCATACTGTTGCAAAATGTAGCAATTTAGTTTACTGTTGTTATATTAAGCCTGTTATCCATGCTACACAATGCTTCAAGATAAAATTTCATGTATTTGTAATTAAAAATAAATATTTCACAATATATAACTACATTTTGTCTATGTGATTAATCACTATGCTTTAATTATGTTCAATATGTAGCAATAAAAATACATCCTGTATATCAGATATTTATATTACAATTCATAACAGTAGCAAAATTACATTTATGACGTAGCAACGAAAATAATTTAATGGTTGGGGGTCACCACAACATGAGGAACTGCATTAAGGGGTCGTGGCATTAGAAAGGTTGAGAACCACTGTTCTAGTGGATTCATTCCCAGAACTCTGTGAATGAATGATGAGGCCATGTGTGCGGAGCCTTGCACAGCTGCACTCTTAAAATAAAAAAAAAAAGCGACAGCTAGTATGTGAAATTTTCCTTGTATTGCTGTCACACACAAGCAGCGGATCCCTAAGCCACTGTAGGAACAGGAACATGTTACAAGTTCCACCCTAAAAACAGGAGGAACATGCAACATGTTCCCGAAGGTAAACTTATCCTTTTTGCTGCCAGAGCCCCTTTTGCGTTTTGTGCACACATAAAAAAATAATTTTAGGCCTGAAGGTTACATAATCGCCCAAAAACATTATATATTTTCTGAACGTAGACACACTAGAGAATAAAATAGCAGTAGTTACAATTTTTTACGTCACACGATATTACCGCAAAAGTCCAGGAAATGCAATATTTCAGTAAAAAAAAACAAAATAAACACTTAACTATAGGGAACAAAAAGCCAATAAATTGCCAATTTTTTTGGTAAAGTATAAGAGATGAGGTTGTACTGAGTAAATAGATACCAAACATGTCAATTCTTAATTTGCGTGTGCTCAAGAAATGGCAATTTTTAGTACCCTGTATTCGTTTTATAGACGACACTTTTAAAGTCTCCAATAGGTCATCTGTTTAATGGTACGGAGAAAGTCTGGTGCTAGAAAAATTGCTCTGATTCTGGCATGATTATTTCTTTCTATTTATTACAGGTACTTATAGAGCGCCGTCAATTTACACAGCGCTTTACATATATATTGTACATTCACATCAGTCCCTAACCCTCAAGGGGTGTACAATCTAAGGTCCCTAACTCACATTCATACATAAATATACTAGAGTCAATTTAGACAGGAGCCAATTAACTTACCAGCATGTCTTTGGAGTGCAGGAGGAAACCAGAGTACCAGGAGGAAACCCACGCAGGCACAGGGAGAACATGCAAAATCCAGGCAGGTTGTGCCGTGGTTGGGATGCGAACCGATGACCAGAGTACTGCCAGGCGGAAGAGCTAACCACTTAGCCACTGTGCTGCCCATGGCATGCGCAGCATTATGTAACACATGTATGGCAATCAACGTTTTCATGCATAGGCGCCCCGATGTGTGCGTTTACATTTGTACGTGGGTATATGTGGGTAAGGTCCCTCAAAATTATGTATACGATGGGGGGGGGGTGATTTTTTTTACAATCATTCATGTCACTTCTTGGTCAGGTCCAGAAGGGGAGGAGAGCAGATTGTGCCCACTCAACTCCTCCCCCCCTACTGCTGGCACTCGCAATACTGATCCTAGCCCCAAGTGGAGCCCGGGATACATGGGGGGGGGGCTTCAGGGAAACCTGCTGCTTGCCCTCAGCAGGGCTAAATGAGGGGGAAAAAAAAAACAAAAAACAACAACACTGGCCCGGTACTACATGTCCCAGGCATCGGGTGATACAAAATAGCGCATCCATGATATGTATATTGCAAGAACACATAAAATTTAACTCCGGTGCCTCCCATTTCTCCTGATCGTTACTGAGGTGTTTGTACACCTTGAGTGGAGTCCACCTGTGGTAAATTCAATTGATTGGACAAGATTTGGCACACAGCTCTCTATAAAATGCCTCACAGCTGACAATGCATACTGTAGCAGAGGAAAAGCCATGAGATCAAAGAAACTGCCTGCAGAGCTCAGAGTCAGTATTATTGCAAGGCACAGATCTGGGGAAGGCTACGAAAAAAAAAAAAAAAAAATGGAAGAGGTTTGGTACAACCAGGACCCTTCCAAGAGCTGGTTGCCCAGCCAAACTAAGCAATTTGGGGAGAAGGGTCTTAGTTAGAGAGGTGACCAAGAACCTGATGTTCACTCTGAGCTCCAGAGACGTTCCAGAAGGACAACCATCACTGCAGCCCTTCATCAATCTGGGCATTATGGCAGAGTGGCTAGACGGAAGCCTCTTCTCATTTTGGAGTTTGCACGATTGCCCTCATAGTAAATTGCTTGCTATGGGGGCACGTGGAAGGGAGGAGGAGCTGAGAGAGCTGGCAAGGGACACAGAAGAGGAGGTTCGATGCCGAAGCACCTGGTCCACTAGTGCTTCTGCATCTGGGTCCGAAGGCAAAATCTGGGACTTGGCCCAATTAACTTTAAGGCTTGAAAAAATAGCGTATGAACCCAGGATATGTAGGACTCCATCAGAGTTGGTCTAGGGTCTTGTAGACAAAAAAAGAAGATAGCATGCATATAGCGCAAGTGGCTCTTCAATACCATCGACCTGCATCCTCTACACTTCAGAAGATGATTATAGGTCAGTCTCTAAGTACCAAAGCCACAAAGCAAGAAGATACCCCTTCTTATTCCCTCAAGAATCCCTGAAGGGTAAAGAGACATGGCCCCCAATCTTTATATAAGCTAACAACATTTTTAAACTGCTGTATCATACATACCTCTTCAATATTTCGTATCCAGTTTTTTTATATTGTCGAATGACTTTTCATTTGTAATATCATAAACCAGCATAATACCCTAAAATATAAAAACACACCACAGTAATTAAAACACAGCATAAAAAGGAAAAAATAAAATCAAATTGTATAACACTAACACACACACACCGCATTCCTGTGCAAATCACAAGCTATTTGTGTGCGGTGAGATTGGAGCCATACATTTTGTATGGCTCTAAATCTCACCAAAAAAGGTGCAGGACCCTTTTTTTGGTCCACACTAGAAACGGATCACATGGGTATTCACACCTATGCAATCCGATTCTGCACATCGCACCGCGTTTTGCGGACCCTTTTCGAGGTGTTGTTAACTTAACACGCACACCCGCAGCGGTTTGCAAGAACAGGGTGCGATTCTGATGCGGTGCGGAATTCGCACAGAAAATGCTGCAAATTCTGCACCGCATCAGTGTGAACCAGGGCTCACACACTAGATTGCCAAACGTTTTGGGACACCCCTCCAAATCATTGGATTCAGGTGTTCCGATCACCTCCATGGTGTATAAAATCATCAAGCACCTAAGCATGCAGACTGCTTCTACAAACATTTGTGAAAGAATGGGTCGCTCTCAGGAGCTCAGTGAATTAAAGCGTGGCAACGTGATAGGTTGCCACCTGTGCAATAAGTCTATCCATGAAACTTCCTTGCTACTAAATATTCCACAGTCAACGGTTAGTGGTATTATAACAAAGTGAAAGCAACTGGGAACAACAGCAACTCAGCCACAGAGTGGTAGGCCACATAAAATGACAGAGTGGAGTCAGCGAAAGCTGAAGTGCACAGTGCGCAGAAGTCGCCAAAACCTGCCCTGCAGCAAATTCAATGGATTCATCCACCGGTTTAGAGACTGAGATACTTCCAAGGGAAGGAGAACAACCAGATCTAAGGAACTCTTCTTGCAAGTGGACAAAAGAAACGACTGAAGGGTTCTAGAATGCAACTGGGCCCAAGTTACTAATGAAATGAATCCCAAAAGACTCCCTTAACGAGACTACTATAGATGAGGCTAGGCAATTGGAGATAGCTTGTATCTTGGAGAGTTTTGTCTTAACTTTTGGGCTACTGAATTGATGTGATACCCTAAAAAGACCCTGTTTGGGCTGGAATTAATCATGTTTCCTCACAGGGAAGAAAGAGGACAGGGTCCGAAGCACACGGCACTTCAAAAATTGGCCTCTGTTAATGAGGCCAAAATCCTGGGAAAAAACAGGGGGAAGCCCAGCTATCCGACAATGCTGCTCTGCAATCCTTGCACAGATTTCAATGAGACCAAAAGAGGTGTGCAGTGGTTCCTCTGCGATGTTTAGCTTTTTTTTTTTTATCTGCTGCGGATACTACTTCATTAAATGTGCATCTGTTTAAAGTTGAAAGAGTATAACAAATACAACTGTAGGCATGTCACAAATGCTTACATAACTTACAATCCTTTGCAAAATGAGCTGCAGTCCAATTTTACAATAAGTACCTGATTCTAGTGAGAATTGCTTAAAAAAATGTCCCTACAAAGTAGTGAGTTAATGTTAAACCCAGGCTATAAGGCCCTATTCACATTTCTACATCAACTTGTGTTGATGCATGTTAAAAATATGTGTTTAAAATATGCACATTTTTAAACTGTATTTTTGTATAGGTTCTTTAACCGTTTCAATACCGTGCAATTTTACACCTTCCTGCCCAGGCCATTTTTCAGGTTTCAGCGCTCTCACACTTTGAATGACAATTGCGCGGTCATACAACACTGTACCCAAACTAAAATTTTATCATTTTCTTCACACAACTAGAGCTTTCTTTTGGTGGTATTTAATCACCACTGGGGTTTTTATTTTTTGCTAAATTAACAAAAAAAGACCAAAAATTTTGAAAAAAAAAACACATTTTTCTTTGTTTCTGTTATAAAAGTTTACAAATAAATAATTGTTCTTCATAAATTTAGGCCGAGATGTATTCTGCTACATGTCTTTGGTGAAAATAACCCAAATTAGGATGTATTTTTTAGTTTGTAGGAAAGTTATAGAGTTCACAAACTATGGTATAGATCTGAAAATTGATCAATCCTGAAGTACTGACGGCCAATCTCTTCTTGAGGTCCAAGAATGTCAGAATAGTACAGATATCCCCAAATGACCCCTTTTTGCAGAGTAGACAGTCCGACGTACTTCATAAGAGGCATGGCGAGTTTTTTGAAGTTGTATTTTTTTGTCATAATTTTTCGGAAAATGAAAAAATGAAAAAAATTATTTTCACTATTATTTTCACTATTTTTTTTTTTTTTACATACTGTCACCAGTGCAGTACAGCGTCATCATATAACTGGCATGGCGATGAACAGGGACACTGACTACCATAGTAACATTGTACTACTTTGGGGAAGTGATCAGTATTTTATTTTTTTTTTTTTTTACACAATTTGCTTATAGCAAAGAATTACTTTGCTATAAGCAAGCATTTACCTGAATGAAATCGATTCATTCAGCTTTTTTTTTTTTTTTTTTTTGTGCTTAGCTGCGATTTGGTCACAGCTAATCACATGACATGTGCATGTGATTAGCTGTGACCATTCACAGCTAGGCACTAGTATACAATGGATGGCATCATGAATGAAGCCATCCATTGTATACAACTGTCATGTGACCTGCTGTGATTGGTCACAGCAGGTCACATGGTACCAGCAACGGGAGCCGGTAATCGGATCTGTCATCGGCCGTGTCCGAGGTGCACGGCTGATGACAGATCGCACTGCTGCGCCGCTCTGCACTAGCGCAAACGGCGCATGTGCGGGAGCACGCCAAATGGCGTGTACCCGGAACGGAGAGACACTTCTGAAGCCGCCAAACGGCCGTTGGCCGGGCGGCTAATGGTTAAAGCTTTAACTAGTTTCTACAGGGGATTGAGGGATTTTTCAACCAAGAAATAAAAAGTCCATTATTAAGAATGAAAATATGTGTATTTATATGCTTACGTTTATTAATGTAGACCCTGTAATGCACGATTGTGCCCTAAAATGGAGCTTTAACGCAACACAGCATAAACATAAATCATATTAGTTAAAGAATTTTGGTACCTACCATTGCTCCTCTGTAATATGCCGTTGTGATTGTACGAAACCTCTCTTGTCCAGCAGTATCCCTTGAAAAAAGGAACACCATAAATATGAAAAGCATCAAATAATTTACATAAGAATATAAATTTGATTAGTAGTTAGTTGTTGGTAGTTGGAATGAAATATAAAAAAAAAGGGCTGAGATGTCTAGAACCTACTTTGAAATTTACTACATTGGTTGGTTAGAATCAAAGCAATACACAGATGACTTACATAGCCAAGAGATAATCATGGTTTATGTCCAGCCTTTAGCAGCCAGCAATAGCAATTTTAAAACGTAGTCCCACTCACTCTGTAAAAAAATAAAAATCAGCAGCTACAAAAACTGTAGCTGCTGACTTTTAAAAAAACTGCCATTCACTTGTCCCATGATCCTGCATTGCCCCCGCAGCAGCCCATTTCACCAGCCGTCCTGTATTCCAGGTGCCGGTACCTTCAGTGTGGGCACCCGGCTGCGACAGCTTGCAGCTTCACAGCCGGGTGCCCACTGCGAATGAGCGAGTAGCGCTGCACTTCCTGAATGGCCCCATCGTCTTCTGGGACTGGTCACGTGTCCCACAAGACTTCGGGGAGGGAGGGTAGGAGGACAACTTCCGTTTCCGATCGCCTAGGCGATCGCAGCGGAAGTGGGAACCTGTCAAATTCGGGTACCCGTTCCCCAAAGGTGCCAATCCTTAATGGGGAGCAGGGGACCAATCTTTAAAGCGGAACTTCCCCTTTTGGGTGGAACTCCGCTTTAAGTACCTAATGTAAGAATATTTATGCTACACTTTATAACGCAGAATTGGCCTTTGTAAAAATTGGAATCTTCATCCTTATTACAGTAGAACAGAGAAGCTTTGCTTTTTAGGGATACATTTGTGCCATTTACTGATTTTGCTTCCTGTCAGGGAAGAACTGTCATCCTAGAGTCAGACTATAAGGCTCCCATGGGAGGATGGCTTGTCTCATGCCTGGGCACAGTACTTATATCTGGCACACAAAGGCCCAATTCACACTTGCAAATGGGGCAGTTTGCAACTAGATTTTGGAGGATCCAGTGGTGGTTCCCTGCATGTAGCTGCAAGCAGGAGGCCCCAGTGAAAACAAGACTTTGTCAGCTCCCCCAGCTATTTGTGGCTACTCACGTGTAGCAGCTCATGGAGCAATAACCTGTGAATGATCAACCCTGGATGCAGAATGGCTCCATGAGCAATTACATGTGAGCAGCCATGAATAGCTGAAGGAGCTGTCAGTGTCCACTGTTTTCAATGGGGTTTCCTTCAGGCAGCTAGTCTCAGAGAACCCTGCTTCTAATTGCAAACGGCCCCATTTGCAATTGTGAATCGGGCCTAAAATGCCAGAAGATGTTAATACTATCATAAATGTATGAGAGGTAAGGCTGTACTTTTATAACAATTTCAGGGCTCCGGTACACCAGATGCAGTCAAATGTGTTTTAAATTCAAAGCAAGAAAAATGTATTTCAATGAGCCAAGTTTACACCATTTCAGTAGTTTCATGTGCTTTAAAGTACAACATGCTGCAATTTTTTCATAGAACGGTACCAGAACACATATTAGCGCAATGCAAAACACTTTAAATGCAAAAACCACAAATGCATATTCAGTCATGGCCAAAATTTAGGCAGCCCTGCATTTGTTAGATAATGCACCACTTCACCTAGAAAAATGTTGCAATTACAAATGTCTAGGCATTCTGCTTATTTCTTTTGTTTGTATTGTATGCCACAAAAAAAAGTGGAGAAACAAAAAGCCAAATCTGACACATTCCACGCAAAACCCCAAAAATGGATTAAAAAAAATGATTGGCACCCTCAATTTAATATTTCGTAGCACACCCCTTGGAAAAAAATAACTGAAATCAATGGAGTTTCTTGTACCTCTTTACTGGAATGTTGGACTACTCTTCTTTTGACAACTGCTCCAGGTCTCTCAGATTGGAAGGGTTCCTTTTACCAACTGCTGCTTTGAGATCTCTCCACAGGTGTTCTATGGGATTGAGATCTGGACTCATTGCTGGCCAGTTCAGTACTCTCCAGCGCTTTGTCTGAAACCATTTCTGGATGCTTTTGGACATGTGCTTTGGGTCATTATCCTGCTGTAAGACCCATGACCTCTGACAGAGGTCCAGCTTTCTGACATTGGGCCCTACACTGCACCTCAGAATTCGTTGGTAGTCTTCAGATTTTATAATGCCATGCACAGTCAAGACATCCAGTGCTTGAAGCAGCAAAGCAACCTCAAAATATCAGTGAACATCCACCATGTTTGATTGTAGAGACTGTATTCTTTTTTTTTAATGGTCCCATTGCTTTTTCTGAAAACAGTAGAATGATGAGTTTTACCAAAAAACTGTAATTTTGTTTTGTCTGTCCACAGCACATTCTCCCAAAAGGATTTTGGCTTCCTCAGGTAAGTTTTGGTAAACTCCAATCTGGCTTTTTTAGGTTTCTGTATCAGCAGTGGGGTCTTCCCACCATAGCGTCCCTTTTCATTTCGATGGCAACGTATAGTGCGAGCTAACAGTTATACCCTGTTCCTTAATGTCAGCTTGAATTTGTCTGGAAATTGATCGAGGTTCTTTAGCCACCAATCCTTTGTTGCAAACTTTGATGAGTTTTTCTCTTTTGTCCACATCCAGGTAGATTAGCTACAGTGCCATGGGCTGTAAACTTCTTGACAATGTTGAACACAGTGGACATAGAAACAAAGATCTCGGGAGATGGATTTGTAACCTAGAGATTATTATTATACAGGATTTATATAGCGCCAACAGTTTGCTCAGCGCTTTACAATATAAACGGGAGACAATACAGCAACAATACAGGAGGGAAAGGAGGACCCTGCTCCATGGAGCTTACAATCCAGGAGAGAGGGGCTAGTGGTACAAAAAGGTAGTAACTCTGGGGGATGGACTGGTTGGAAGAGTAGAAGATTCCATTATTAGCTGAGGGCAGGATAGGCTTCCCTGAAGAGAAGGGTTTTCAGAGATCGCCTAAAAGTGAGCAGAAAAGGAGATAGTCTGATAAATTGGGGTAGAGAGTTTCCAGAGGATGGGGCAAGCTCTGGAAAAGTCCGGGAGACTAGCATGGGAGCAGGAGACAAGGGAGCTAGAGAGGAGGTGTTGCGAGGAGCGGAGAGTACGGTTTGGGTGATATTTGGAGACAAGATGAGTGATGTCATTTGGGGCATTATAAATGGCTTTATACGTTATTGTTAATGTTTTGAATTTTATTTGGACAACGGGAAGCCAGTGGAGGGATTGGCAGAGAGGGGTGGCAGATACAGAATGGTTAGTAAGGTGGATAAGTCTGGCAGCAGCATACATGATAGACTGAAGAGGGGATAGCCTGCAATTAGGTAGGCCAATGAGGAGGGAGTTACAATAGTCAAGGCGAGATATAACAAGGGAGTGAATAAGTTGCTTAGTGGTTTCCGAGGTTAGCAACGGGCGTATCTTGGAAATGTCTACAAGATTTGGACAGTGATTGGATTTGGGGCTAAAAGGACAGATGGATTACACCTAGTACCCTGGCATGAGGGGAGGGACTGATCATTATGTTATTGATCTTGATGGAGAAGTCAGGGGAGGGGGCACGGGCTGGGGGGAATACTAAGAGCTCAGTTTTGGAAAGATTGGGTTTGAGGAAACGGAGTGACATCCATGCCGATATGGCGCTTAGTAGGTTAGTAATGTGAGAGGAGACTGAAGGGGTGAGGTGAGGGGTAGAAAGATAGATTTGTGTGTCATCAGTATAGAGATGGTACTTAAAGCCATAGGAGTTTATCAAGTGACCAAGGGAGGAGGTGTAGATGGAGAAGAGAAGGGGTCCAAGGACAGAACCTTGAGGGACCCCTACAGAAAGAGCGAGTGAAGAGGAGGAGGCAGCGTTATAGGTAATGCTGAAGGAGCACTGCGATAGCTAGGAGGAGAACCAAGAGAACAGAGTCTCTGAGACCAAGAGAGTGGATTTTTTTTTTTTTTTTTTTTTTTTTTTTTTTAGGAGGAGGGGATAGTAAACCATATCAAAAGCTGCAGAGAGGTCAAGTAGTAAGAGTACGGAGTAGTGGCCATTGGTTTTAGCTGTTAGTAGATCATTAGTGAGTTTTAGTAGGGCAGTTTCAGTGGAGTGTAGAGAGCGAAAGCCAGACTGTAAAGGGTCAAGAAGGTTGTTGTCGGTGAAGTGGGAGCTCAGGTGATTGTAGACTAAGCATTCTAGGAGTTTAGAGGTAAATGGCAGCAGGGAGATGGGTCTTAAGTTGTTCAGGTTGGTGGGGTCCAGGGAGGGCTTTTTAAATATGGGAGTGATGTGCGCATGCTTTTACAGGGGAGGGGAAGGCACCAGTAGAGAGGGAAAGATTGAAGAGTGAGTGAGGGAGCATAGGATGGAAGAAGAGGGTGACCGTAGTAGTTGTGAGGGGACAGGATCCAGGGGGGAGGTGGCGAGACGGGCTTCTCGGAAAACCTTAGTGATCCCTTTGGTAGTAGCAAGGTCAAAAGAGGAAAGTGTTGAGGGAAGTTTAGTATAAGGTATGCTAAGTGGGATGGGTGTCTGTGCAGTGGTGATGCCCCTACGAATTGCGTCAATCTTGTTTTTGAAATGATTTGCAATCTCGTGAGCAGTGAGAGAGTTACTGGGTGGCGGTGGAGAAAGTAGAGAGTTAAAAGTAGAGAAGAGACGATGAGGACTGGATGACAAGGTATTAATAAGAGTGACAAAGTAGGCTTGTTTGGCAGCATGGAGGGAGGAATTGTATGTTAAGAAAGCAGATTTATATAGGGTGAAAGCTTGGCGAGATTTGGTTTTATGCCACAATCGCTCCAGCGCACGACTATGACGTTTAAGATTTCTGGTGTCGTCAGTCTGCCAAGGTTGTAACGGTCGGGGCCTGATGCTTCGTGTTGTTAGAGAAGCAAGTGAGTCTAATGCGGATGAAAGCGAACTGTTGTAGACAGCAGTGGCCAGGCGGGGCAGGACAGGGGAGAGATTCTGTCATAGAGTTGGTCAGTTGCAGAGTGGAAAG